CTTCAAAAAGCATGGCGACTTTATAGAAACTTCGTAGATCGCAGTAACGATAGATCACCTGCATCATTAATGCAAACAATTTCTCACGTTGTACGCCTACAAATGTCCATTTGCCGTAAACAAACCCGTGCATTACGTTACAAAATTTCACTCACCTATTAACCCTTAGCAGTTAGTCTATTTTATTGCAACCTCTACCTGTTTTAACAATTTTTTCTATATTTATGTGTAGTATCACAATTGTACCATTTAAAGGTAACATTTCAATGACTCCCAGATATTCTTGAATAAATAAACAGAGCGTCATATTAAGCTGCAATTGATGCTTTGCATGCGATCCTTTGCACCCGAGAGACAACTCCCAGTCACCAGATTTGATACAGCAAAATGATAAACATTGGTATTTACTATTAACCTTTATATACTACATCAATACGTGAAGTATCAAAAGAAAATAGCTTCGCTCCGTAATTTATGTGTTACTTATTGATAAATTAATTTGAAGAAATCTTGTCTACATCTAATTGGAAAGTGTTGAATATTTCAAGTGAAAATCTTTCGAGTGCAAAGGGTTAAAAGTGGACCATCTCTCCCCCAACTTAGCCGATATTTCAATTGAACTGGTCCGTGTTCGTATAACGCACAACGCTGGATCATTGGAACAAACGGACAACAATCCTTAGCGATTGCAGAACAATTTTGTCGTCTCGCTGGTCGTTTTCCTTTAATCGCATCCGCCGTGGCGCCAAGTGAATACACACGCGCGCTCAGTCGAGTGGAGCGTGCATCGTTGTCCATCGTTAGCATTCGACACGTTGCGCGATTATACCTCGGTGCACCGTGTTGCATTGTATTACGCTGTATTGCATCGCGTTGTAACTACGTTACGCATTCCCGTGAACGCGGTCGATGGCGATGGCCGTATGCATCGTGATAATCGACCGTCCGCATCGGATCTACGGGGTGTTTCGAATTTAACACTGGATTTACGGACATTCATTCTAGACTTTATCTTCCTTAGAAGACTATACGTTCGTTTATACTGATTGCGGAAATTAGAGTATCAAGAACAGAGAATTGTAATGTGCATTCGCATAATCGCATCAATCAAGATCGACTCAAACTGTTAACGAATAATGTTTAACACATTCAATATCCGCCAAATTGACGGATTCGGTAAATTGGTTAACTGTATACATAGAGTATAGGCGCGTCTATGAATTTTTAAATAATTGACGAATAATTTTGGAATTTATATTACCGATATATTGGGTGATGCGACAGTTTCGACGGTTTTCGGAGCAAGTAAAAGTATCGCTGTATTCATTTTTCGCTTTGGAATCGCATTTTTGCAGTGGTGGAATAAATGAGCTTATAGAAAGATCGGAGAGGGTAATAGCAACCAATGGAAATTGTGTAATAGATTAAGTCAATAATAATGTTTGATAAACGCTTGCGTTTATGTCTTATATAGAAACGTCAAAACTTTTGTATCAATATATTCTGTCTGAATAATTCAAGTGGACACGATACAAATTCCAAGTTGGAACGATTTGAGGAAGAATTTAGAAAAATGAGAAATTATAATTTAGGTATTAATATGTTAATATAGAAAGGAAGATCATCCGCATAAACATGGTCTTTAAATTATTATGTCGATATATTATTTGATGTGCTTGAAGACACCCCAGTTTATCAATTTAAGTGTGTCCATCCTCGTGAGCTACATTTTACTAATCCATTAACGTAATACGTTATTTAAAAATCAATAGAAATGCCAGTAAATAAAATTTATATAATAAAATAAACAAAAGTTTAACAGCAGATGTAAGAGAACTTCAAAAATGTTCATTGAATTTTCATTTAAAATTTAATCGATCCATTTACCAGTTTAGTAACCACATTGCCTGTAAGATATAAATACATATCATATTTTCTACATAATAATTCAATATATTCAATTTTTTGATTTAGTTTTTTAATTATAATTATAATCATTTTTTGAATAAGTTATAAGTTATTTGTAATAATATATTGCTACATCATGTATTATACCTATCCCATTTCCGCATGCACAATACAAGATGACAATTCTTCAAGGAACAACATAATTTAAAAAAAACACTCGAAATTCTAACAAAATCTTTAAAACACGCATTTCCACTGTTGCTTCTCCACGGACAAGGAAGACAATAAAAGAACGACAGTAGAGTAGACTAGTCACGATAATAGATAACTAATTATCAAAGGCACATTCAATAATTTCGACGGGAGCAATTATCGATATGATCGGTCATTTGAAATCGTAAATCATGTTCCACATTCCTTGCGATGCATGCGCATGATGCAACGATCCAGGCGCCTGTTCTGACGAGTCGGAGGCGCCTTCTTTACTTCTTTACTGGATGGAGGCGCCTCCTCCGAGTTAAAGACGCCTCTGTTCCAGACTCTTCCTAATGAATCATTTCTGAAGCTAATTTAGTCAGACGCTTTCTATCGAAACGTAATATGTCCACGTCAGACTTTCGCGGCAAGATCAGTTGGTTCAACGAATCCGTTCAGAATTTTCGTGGGGATTTCAGTTTCGCGCAATCCCGTGGACCCGCGGCACGCGATAAGATAGCGCATCTCGTTTGCAAGCGATAAAAATCGGTCGACGAAGGTCGATTTCGATGTGATACAAGGGAACTGTAGTCGAAAGCCAATGTAACGAATGAAATCGTAGAAACATGGACTAGATGAAGTCAGGGGGAAGTTATTAATCGTTAGATAAATGAATGAATGGCAGTCAGATGAAAGGTGAAGCTAGGTCGTTTTCAGTCTATTTCATTTTTCCAAAAATGTCTTGGACACGATAATGGTAAGAACTTATACGAACTTCATCCATTAGGTTTTTGTAGAATTTTATAATTTTATTAGTAGATTAACCCCTTGCATGGAAATGACCAGTCTCGTTCGTATGTACCACTCCCCATGCGAAACTCAATTTTGTAAATTATTTTATAGCCAGTTATATATTTATTAATTAATTAAGTATATTATATTTTATAACCAAGTTTATAATCAAAATAATTTCTTTTACTGTAATACTTCAGTTTTTTATAATTGCCGTATCTGAGTACAAGTTTGGGTCGAAACAAATCGTAAGACAAGAGGTTAAGTTACCATAGGTCACCTCTATGTATTGAAAATCAAAACTTCAAATTGAAACTCTTGATTGTTGAATAAAGAACGAGAATTCTTCTAGATATAGACACATGTAAATGCATTTGAAGCATTTATGAATGAGCAGAAGATGGAAAAGTGAAACTTTTCGTTAAAACATTCAGAACTGTAATTATACTGAAACTTTAATGTAAGAAACAAATTTTCTGTTCCTGCGTCTATAAAGTAATCTGGAAAAACATTAATTTACATTCCTAAAATTCCTAAAATTAGAGACTTAGGAAAAATAGGTGTTTGGATCGATTCCTGATAAATACTTTTCAATCGTTACATAAGTATTAACCCTTTGCATTTGACAGTTTCTCACTAGAAATACTCAACGTTTTCTGGTCAGATCTCAGATTTCAAACTGACATATTCCACATATTGATGCATTACAGAAACTTTAATATGAAACATCAAACTATAATTTTGTTGTAGCTAATCAAATGGCCACTGAGAGTCTCTCGAGGACAAAGGGTTAATCTATACTGCGTTTAGAATTCGACATATCGTTGGACATGCTGTGCAATGTATTTCACGTAAAAAGGTAGTATTCTTTCCAACGTATCGTTTCAAAGGTTGAATCACAGTTGCCAATTATGGTTAAGAAGTGAAGTTTTCGAACGTGAGTGTAAAAGGTCACGGAAGACAGCATAATGCGTTGGCAATATTCTCAGAACGCCGAACGATACGGATGGATTCAAGGAAGACTGCCAAAGAATTAGTCATCCCGTGAAATATCCGCCCGGTTTTAATTTTAATTCTTTCTTTGGCATTTCCGCTCGGCGAAGAGTCATCGTGTACTTCCAGTAAACGTGAAACGTTCGCGGCATACGTAATGTTGTACCGGTTACTTGATTATGTTAAGAGTATGTAAATGTATATGAAATGATTCATTAATATTACTCGACGTCATATTCAATGGCAATATTTCTTGTCAAAGGAAATTTGATGTACAGTCGGCCGACGAGAAATGAACTAATAATTATATTAATTTAAAGCTAATTTCTTTTCATTCTACGTGAAACATTACATTATTAAAAGTGAAATTATATATTTAATAAAAAGTATGTCAAAAATGGAACTGCCCTTTAAATGTAGACTTTTGATTGTACTCCGAGAATGGTGTATGTTCATTTTTGCATATTACAAGAATAATACATATTATACTATCTACGAAGAACTAGATAATAGGTACATTCGTTTTTGAACAATTTAAGTATACTACAATACTTCGAACGTAAACGAGGTAAATATTTGGATAAACAACTCAAACAAAGTGCATGTTACAATATAAAATCCTTCATAATTCATTTCCGAAATACATATTTAACCGTTAGATAATTAAACGTTTAGCAAGTATAAAATTCGTATATGTACAGGACACAGTCAATTTCTTGTCACATTTCTATGTAAATATCGTAAACAACATAATCTAATATTTTAAAAACAAAAATTCTTATTAGTCGAAAATTGTATGGATCATATATAGGACTTACCACACTATCTTAATACTTACGTAGACATATGTGTATAAGTACAAGTATCTATTTCTTTAAAAAGTTACAGGTCGCATTATACAGTTACGCTAATAGAGGTACAATAATGGTAGAGGTTAACTATGATTCGCAGTAGTGAAGCCGTCGAACGGTTAACACAGTACGAGTGTTTTTTTCTTGATCCTCAAGTTACAATAACATGTGCTTGTTTAGAGATTTTCTGAACATTGTGTAGCATATTTGAAGGTGTGTATGCGCAGATAGATATATAGATACGCAAACTGTATGTTTTAGGAGGAGTGCAGGAGGAGGATAGCCGAGTGCACGATGAGTGACGGTGCGAGCACACCGGTATGTGGGAGCGACGGTGTTACGTATTCAAGTCAGTGTCGGGTCATCTCGAAGCAGTGTCAAGGCATGTCCATCCTTATCAAACACACTGGTCCTTGTCCAGGTAGGACGATACTCCATGCTTCAAATACGAACCGATATACCATGTGATATTTTATTGTTTTGCTCGGGCAAACGAGCAAAATGTGACAAACCAAACCGTTTCGTTCATGTTCCATCCAATACTTCTTATGTGTGCCAACCAGTGGCGGCTCGTAGCTGAAATTAGTGGGATACCGCTCTAGAAACTTGTTAGCGTTTGTTTTAAAATGTTCGTATCTTTTTCATAAACTGGGGGATGGCTACTCACAAGCTTAAGGATTATATATTGTACAAATATAAAGAGAGAATTAAAGAAAAAAGGACGCATTGTATTAAATGTTATCGATAATATCAAGTGGAAATTGGGGGTGCTGCGGTTCTACAGCGCCTATACGCGAGCCGCCACTGGTGCTAACTTTACCTACGCACGTATTCATCAAAGTGTTAACCCTTTGCGCTCGTAAGTTTATCAATGGAAATATTCAACATTTTCTGACGAGATATAGGTCATATTGTTTGAAACTAATTTAACGATAATTCATAGATAAATTAAGCAACAGAGGTATTCTATTTAAATATTTCACGTAGCAATGCAAACTTTAATTTAAAATATTAAATATTCAACTTCATAATTGTGTTGTATCGAATCATGTGGTGACTAAGAGTCACCTCTCGAGTGCGAAGGGTTAAATATCTAAAATGATTTTAAAAATAGACAGTTTCACATGAATACTGTAATAAATATATGGAGAGGTCGAAAAATGTGTTAATAGAATGTTTATAATGGCTACATAGGGCAAGGGGTTAAATCCGGTCATTTTACCGGTTCACGGTACGGTTGGTGTTAAACATATCGAAGATAGTTACGTGTCGCAAAGGGTTTGATCGCTAACGATAAGCAGACGCGGAACGTGTCGGTGACGACGACAGTTCCCTTTTTCCGTTACGTTTAACGAGAAGCAAGGTAATTAAAAGGGGATCTGTCCATCCAGAGACACCGGCGTGCTTCTCCGCGAGGTTGACCGCCAGGCCAGGCGCGCGACCAGTCTGCCGGCCCGATGGCACTTACGCACCTGTGCAATGTCACGAGGAAACCGGGTACTGTTGGTGTGTGACGCCGCAGGGCAGACCGCTGCCCGACACCTCGGTAAGACACCAAAGACCAAGATGTTTGAAACCCGGTCCCAGATCTGCTGCTTCCACCAGGAGCGGGCAAAGGAGGCGCTCGCCGAGCTGGAAGCAGCGAAGGCAGTACAGCAGTAAGCACAGGAACACCTGCGATCGCGCGGAGAAGTCCAAGTTTAACGGGAACCTAATCGAGAACTTCAAGATCGAGTATAGGCGGACCAACATCTCCACCGACGGTGAGGATTTACTCGAACAGAGGCAGTTCCTCCATTGGGAAACCAATGAAAGAACGGACAATAATGTGAGAATGAACGTATTAACCCTTAACGGAGCCGCCGTATAAGCGGCATGGCGCTTTCATTTACTAGGTCCAATGCCGCGTGACGGGAAAAATCATTTTATTGTTTTTATCACTGTTACTGCTGTAATATTTACAATTAACACGGAAGTATTGTGTCAGTTCTGTGAATCTGTTTCCGTTTGTTAGCTATGTTACGGTATTTTTTCGTGATAAGTGAATTTGAAATACTTCCGGACCGTTAAGGGTTAACTGGGTCGCTCAGAAGCTAATGCGGTTGAGTCGATTTTTTGATATTTTTTGATTTTATTAGTTTTTTGTAACGTTTGAAACGTAATATTTGGATGAAGATTGTCCTGTTAGAACAGATAAGCGTAACGATGACGAAATGAATTTTTCCTGTTATATACCCTGTTACCATTTTCGCTGATTCCCACTAAATAACGGCCCCAATGCATCAACAAGCAATAGAATTTAGTTGCCAATGTAATAGTTAGTGTATCGTTATATTTATTGTAATTCGAATGATTGAAATTGTTGATTGATATAACGTGTAGCAACACACTTTGCATAGACATACATACATGAACACGGTCCTTGAATCCGGTAGCATGTTTCGACATAGAGTGTATTAAATTTGATTGGATCAAGGTTTGCTCCGATTACGTCAACCCGAAGATCGCGAACGGTATATTGAATATAATCTAGAAGATCGATTGTAGGTGATCTGAAGTACAATATAAGAGTGTCGATTTGTAACCATACTTACGTATTCAAGATATACAAATTATGACAGAGAAATCATTCAATTCATAAGATGAATGGAAAAGATCGTGTAGTATTTAAACTTTGCCATTTTGTTTCCTCGACTGGGTATTGTATTATCAGTTTTTATAAAGTTACATCGTTCAAATATTAGCAGTCACGCCTTGCAACGTAAGCTTCTAAAGTCCCGCCTTAAAATTCCACATTGTTCGCCTAATCATTTCTATTCCTGAACATTGCTGTTCCGTAGCCAAGTTTAAATGGTGTCTGTAATACCTTCATCATTTCTCTTCAAAATAGGGTGATTTTAGTCGATCCTTGATGAAAGCAATTATCAAGAAACTCGATTCATAATTGTCGAAAGGTTGAATGATTAAGTAGGAACGTGTTATTAGGATGATTGAATTAACAGTTAACTTATCAAATAAAGAAAGTACTTCGAACAGTAGTTACATGGCTTCAAGAAAGGCATATTGTTTTTACTTTCTATTGTTCAAATCAAATTTACTATAAAATAACATATTCTCACAGCTGACAATTTGACATTTTTAAAACACTACGGATTTAGTTTTTCCACACAGGTTCCTTGAGGTCGTTCTAATTCGCATCATTCATGCACATGTATACACATAAAGTGATTCCAACGAAGAAGGCCACAGTCTCTTTGAAACTCATTTAAATGTAAACTGAAAGAATTGGAACACCAGATTTGATTGATAAATAAACTTAAATTACTTCCATACAAAATAATCGACAAGAATTAGAACTACAAACGAAAGAAACATGTTTGTCTTGCTGCTCACTGTATCGTTTGCGTGGATCGCATAGACTTAATATCGAATATAACATTTTCATGGGAAATTTCATTTCCAATAGATACTATTATCTTTCGAGTCAACTTCGATTCGTTACTTCGTATTTCTCCAAATTTCTTTCGAAGCTTACGATTCAAGTGGACTCTAATATGTTTGATATTGTTTTCCGATAATCGGCCGGCCAGTAGGCGACAAGAACGTGGAGCGCGTGTTGTCGTGGAAATTCGTCACCCTCGACAAGAACGGCGACGGTTACCTGGACAGAGCAGAATACAAGGAGCTAAGGAGACTCGCGAAGAAGGCGGTAAGGCCGAAGAAATGTGCTCGCACGTTCGCCCGCACGTGCGACCTAAATCGGGATTTGAAACTCTCCAGGCAAGAATGGGGTGCCTGCCTTGCGAACGACTTCACTCGTAAGTTTAACACGTGGTGCACGTGCTTCTCACTCGTGATAAGGGAGAATCTTCTGCCACGAACCGCTTATGCTACGTGTCCACGTCAGAGTGTACTCTTGAGATGTTGTGCGATCTCTTTGAGTGATATAAAATAAGATGCAGCGAACTCGCAACGTTAGGGGTTGTACTGAATACCTATGTTATTCGTACGTTCTTATCAGAGGTGTCAATTATTTCCATGACCCAGCTATTTAATTAACTCCGTGTGAAATTCTTTTTGGCTGAGTTCGAGTGATTAATCTTACTATAAATGACTTGCGTGAAATTGAGAAGTTAGAAATTGAGAAATTGATAAATTGAAAAATTAGAAAATTAGAAAATTGAAAAATTATGATGTTGGAAATTAAGAAATTGAAAAATTAAGAAGTTAGAATGTTAAGAAATGTTTCATTCATTGTACGTATATATTAACTTTGGAAACGAAACAATGAAAATAGAAAAATAGACTTTCCCTTTGATTCATGTACAATGAGAAACATTGATGTCTGTTAAATTTCTCTGGAGATCTTCATCGCTAGTCTCACTTGTCATTATAGGGCAAGAAGGGGTTAAACGAGATTAGTTACAATACTGGAACAAGGGTTTTCAGTAATTTATCGATACTTAAGAACTTTTTTATCGATTCATTATTTTTATTTATTTATTAAAGGTAACTCTCAAAAGTAAAACTCTGAAATCGTCACGTAACATTCGAATCCTTTTCGTTCACATTTGCACGAGGACGATCTTTGATCCTTTTATGCAAATTAAGCTTATTCGTTGAATAAAAGTAAGGTGTTATTTACTGTATACTACATATACATTGAACCCTACGCGTATTGAATTAACTTCTTAAGCGTGCTTAACAGCTTCTTATGGTAAAGTGATATTGCAAAACAGCATGCATGTAAATATACATTGGAATCTAGTACACTGACAATGTTTGTCGAATGTCAGAACAACTTTTCTTATAATTTACATTGTGCAACATTAACATTGTACAACGCAATCCTTAACCCTTTGTACTCGACAATATTCTTCACTACAAATACACATTATTCTCCGATGAAATATTAATAATACTTGTTGCAACCAACGTACAGAAATATCTTATATAAGTTAAGGGGTGGAATTATTTTATTTCGATGTTCCATGTGTTAATACGCTATGCAGAATTTAATATTAAATTTGAAATTTTATAATTTCGCTGCGTCTAATTTAATGCTGACCGAGAGTCGCCTCTCGAGTGCAAAGGGTTAATTTCTAGCTAACCCTGCACTGTACTTCAGTTTCGACGTGTAAAGCTCACCTCGTAATTTTACAAAACCTCTACAACATGTGTAATGGAAACATTAGTGATAGTAATAATTGTTTTTCATTAACGCATCTTCATTTCAATGTCTCATTTTATTTTGTCTGCAAACCGAACGAATGAAACCATTATCTTTTATAATAGGTAACGGATTTTACTGACATCCGTTAAAACGTTGACTGCCAGTGTGATCACTGATGATCGAAGCTTCCAAATTATTTGAAAACAATTCCAATTTGTAAGCTAATCGATGTCCAATGAAAATGTTCGATAGCGCAAATAATTAGATAATAGTATAACCCCAGAACTGTGATACCAAGTAATTAATCATTTTGTTCCTTTCTTATCTTCGCCGCAAAAGAAAAAGTGATACATAAAACGCTGAAGTTTTCATGGCAATCAACGTGCTAAAAGAAATCTTTCAGATGACCAAATTTCGCGTCCCTGCAATTTCCATACACTGAACACGGTATCATGCATGAAAGGTTAGTTTAGCTACAAACAAAAATTTCTCCAAATTTTCTGCTAGTGATCGAAATTAAACAACGCCCAGACCTGTCCAACAGCGAATCATCAAATTCAAGTGCAAACATTGCTAAAACCGCTTTCCTGTTAGGCGCGGGTAGTCAAGGTCACAGTCGAGGTTGTTCGCTGCATAAATCAGTTTTGAGCTCGATGATATTTGCGAACTGGCGCCACGCCGTTGCGCCACGAATGTTTGCCTCTCCCGGGAGCTCCGTGTCGTATTATCTATTTCTGCATTATCAATCGCTTGTCCCACCCGTAATCATTCGCAAGAATTCGCCTAAAAGGATCGAAGATCGTTTTCGTCTGATGTTGGGACTAGGGTAAGTCAGGAAGAGATGGTCCATATTTTTTCACACGTTCACGTCGACGCTGTAACTCATGTTTCCCCATCTTGCGACGAAATGCATAAAATTTAGTTTATTAATTAATTGTAATTAATTGTTTCTATTTGCCAAATCAGTTTAACGAACCACACAGTCGATGGTACACGCTGTCCGATGGGATGTCGAAGTGAAATTATTGAAAAAACCATTATATCACGGATTTCCAAACTGGTAGGCGCGGATTAGTGCAAGGTTTGACGGAAATGTAATTTGCATTCTTTGTGTTAATACATTTTTTGCCATTGAAAAATGTGTCCATATTGTTGTATAGAATAATATGGATGGGACGGACCCCAAGATTAGACTTTTTTTAAAGGGAGGCGCAGTAACATGAAATTTGGAAACCACTGCATTGCATCATGAATATTACTGACACCGAATGAAAAGAAACATATTTATGAAAGTGAACATAAGAAGAATAGTTAAATAAACATTTCTGCAAGATTCAGTATACCACTAAAAATAATTGGGAACGTAGACAATTCAAATGAGATCGGGCCATCTCACCCGGAGTTACCCTATCGGGACACATCGTTAACCCTTGAACCTACGATTGATTTCATAACTACACCGAGAAATACTTCGACGTTAATAATTAACTAGAAACAAAGGAGAACTCAGTATCCCTCCATATCCGTGTTTACTTTAAATCATAACAGTTGAGAAACAAGAATATAATATTTAATTAGTGCTCAAGGGAACTAAGATTTATATATTTTCGTAAATTTGAGATCTTCCTCAGGAGTCTGACACGATATTGTACGGCAAGGGGTTAATCTCGCATGACGCCAATCGATTCCTTAAAACCTCTTCCCTCTTCTATTTTGAACGGTCTACCTTTCCCGGCAGTTAGCAACGTTCGTTCGATATAGCTGATCGGTCCTAATGATCGTTAGCGTATCGTTAGCGACAAATTGAAGACATGAAGAAAGTTAAGTTCCTAGACACGGTCACATTTTATGGCGATCGTAAATTGAGATTAACAGCAGCGCTCATACTTGCGCAGCCTAACACGTGCTAATCTATCTACTTGCGTCGCATTGCAATCGCCTACGAGCAATTACCGCGCATACCGTCCCCCTTTCCCCATATCCTGGGCGAAGGTTGCTTTTTAACGTCCGTCAACCTAGTGACTTCCGTGGTGATCCGGTGATCGTCGTTTACTTTGAAATTTCTTACATATGAAGCATTAACCTTTTGCACTCCATAGGCGCCTCTCAGTCGCCACTTGATTCGATACAGCGAAATTATACAGTTTGATATTTAACCCTTAGCACACCAGTCAATTTCGTGATCTACCAGTAACTCCAATTATTTTCATAATATCCCTAGTGAAAATTTGAAAAATGTTATAACATTTCTTAGATTTCCCATTCTCCTTTTTCAGAGAAAATTTGAGTGTATAGCAAACGCAATAATCTTAGGGTAGCTTCTTCAACTTTGTTCGTTAAAATATTTAATACTATAAATAGTTCTATAACGGAGTCTATAGGGTATAAAGAGTTAATATTATTACATTCGCTACAAACGTCACATATGGGCAATACTCTATTTTATTAACCCTTTGCGGACGAAGATTCTTCAAGGAATACAAAAACTTCACCAGATTCGGCTAAATTATATATCGGATGCTTAAATAGTAGAGAAAAAGGAAACTATGCACTGATCTCTGGCTATTTGAGTTATTAAATCATTCGCCCGCAACTCAATATTCGAAATATGAAAGTTTGATCTCAGCAAAACGTCGACATTCGTCCGCAAAGGGTTAATACTGAAACGTCAATCACCAATTGTTCGTAAATCTCGAATACCTTCCAATTTTCCCTGACAATCCTAATCTTTCCTCACTTCATCCAAGTTCTATATTCAATACTAATAATTTTATTAAAACGAATAAACCTTGTAATTTTGAAATTACAATGACGTTGCGCGTTTCACGCAGAGAAGTTAATTAATTACTTCATTTCATTCGCTTTACTATGCGAAATACATATGTATATTGGACTTGAAAGTTACACGGGCCTACAGAGGGGTGACACGTTGAAAAGAAGTTTAACAGGAATAGACGAGACGAAGAACGCCGGAGGATGATACCGGAAGGTCGTCGTCGCGATTGTCGTCGCGATTGTCGTCTCGGCGGCGTCTAAATCGTGGCATAAATTACAAGCGTTGCCCGGACAGGATGTCGCGCACGCGAAGGGCCGTTTCTATGGCCGGGCCCGCTTAACATTCGTGAATCTTGCCGGAAGTTTGCCCACACTGCGGCCAGCTACCGAGGAATTGAAGCAATTGACCTCGTGTACGTACACGCTCCGTACTCGCGGCTGGCCTACAAGAATGACCGCTCGCCCGCGCGACTCGTCGGTTTGTCGGTTCGTAAATCCGCGCCTACGCGATCTATCAGGTCGTTCCATAAGTAACGTCGTTCCCGGCCGTAATATGAACATATTACAGTCCGTTGTACTTTGGAGGAGAAACTTGCCCCGACGCACGCCGAGACGTTCAACCCTTTCGCTGCGGCTGACGTTGAGTCCGGGAGTCACATCTGTGGATACGACAACGGTGTTTAACCCTTTGCACTCGAGAGGTGACTCTAGGTCGTCATTTGATTCGATGCAGTAAAATTATAGAATTTGATATTTAATATTGAACCGTGTATAATGCATCGGTGCGTGAAATATTGGGATAAATATGATTCCTCTTTGAGTTAATTTCAAAAAATATCATCTTGTGTTTTGTTTCAGAAAATGTTGAGTATTTCTAACGAAATACTTCCGAGTGCAAAGGGTTAACACTAGATTCACGGTACGAGTCGATTTGACTCATATTGAATTATAGAAGTGTTTTGTAGATAGAACTGTTTTCTGAATTAATGGGAAAGCGACAAGTTTGAAATTGATTGGAAGCCTTCGCAATTAACGGATGAGTAACGTTACTGCGACGATTTGCTGACACTAGATTCACGGAACAAGTCGATTTGACTCATACAAAATGGTATTGTATGAACATTATTTGATATATGTTGGGGTGGATTTTGATTGGTGCAGTTACGCGAATGTGTACCCTAATTGTTTACTTTTAAACCTTTAACTTCCAAGATCTAAATGAACGAATATGATTTTTTCTAAGAATGATTGAAAAAAGTTTACAGTAAATGTTCGTAAATCTAGTGTTAATATGTAACAGTATGTAATATAAAACATCATGATATTTCGGAGGAAAATAATTCAATCCCTTGCCCTATAATGTCGTGTCAGACTCGCGATGACAATTTTAATACACTCGTTGGTGTGAATTCACGTCTTTTCAGATGTACTAAGTTCCAAAATTTTTTATTTCTCTGCTGTTTTCTATTTGTGACCTTTAGATTAAAGTTAAAGATTTAGAAACTTTTATCTAATAAAACATAATTTAATATAATCTTGAATTTTCAAACTTTTATCTAATGAAACATAATTTAATTTAATCTTAAATTATCTTTAACGATTAATGATACCATTTATCATTGCATCGAGGAAAATAGAGATTTCAATTTACATTATTGCTTACGATATTTCAAATCGCAAGATTTTTGGGACAAATTGTGTAGGTAAATTTGAAAAAAATGAAATATAACATTACTCTTAATTCAAATAATCACTATCAACACCTTGCTCAAATTGAATATTTCTTACAAGCTTATTTTCTATGATACTATGCGTTCCTGTAGATCGGTACATTACAATTTTATACAAATACAGACACTCACTCCATTCACTGCGGCAAAAATTTCGCTTCCGCACATTTGAATGAGCGCACGAATGTTAACAATAAGAGTAGCATCACGCCTAGACTGACGCATAGAATTGTAGTCAATTGCATGTCAATTATCGTATTCGTACGACCTAATGTCTACTTATGTGACCTGAGAATCATTTATGTCTAGTCTAATAACTTTCAATCTCCACCATCTCACAGTATTACTTGGTCTCCGCAATACCTAGAGTCTGCAGTACTTAGAGTTAACATCGTTTACCATACATCATATTTTAAAAAAGAATTAACAGAAAATTGATTACCTGGCAAATTTGAAATTGATTTACTTGGCAAACCATAAAGTATAAAATTTATAGATGAAATTCGTAAATCAATTTTCATAATTTCTTCGCATGTTCATCATCGATTGCCTGCTAAATCATCGCATGAGTACATCTATCACTAACAGGTATACAGGTAGAAGAAAGTACAGGGTGATTTTAAATTAATTTTACAAAATATCGTCTTAGCATAATTTAAAAAACAAAACAATTTTTTACTGTAATATACTTAATACGTCTTTGTATTACACGATTTACTTTCTAAATCATTCTCGCGATCGTCGAATGAACTTGTAACGTTATATAATTCGATAAATCAAAATAAGACAAACCCAGAAAATGATGGAATTATGATTTTACCTTCGTCTTCAAATCATAAATGAATAAATTTAATACTATCTAATAAGAATCCACAATTTTACCATTGTTCATTTTCCGCTTAATTTAACCCATATAATATATAAAAAAAAAAGTGTGAATAAACTCAAAAATACTTGGAAACATTTTCTTTCCATTTCTTTGTTTATATAAACCGTGAACACTGCGAAAGATCGAACAAATCCAGATAGTAACGCAATTACAAGTCAGTTTCGTGGCAATAATTTAAAATGACCCTGTGCGATCACGGGAACCATCATACGGAGGAGGAAATTAAAGGGCACGCATGTGCGCGAGAACATTTCACTCATTGGGTGCGTGAGACTGCTGCCTGAAACGCCGTTGAAAATGTAAAGGAAAAAGGCAATTGTAAGAGAAAAAAAACGAAAATTCGATGTTCGCCACCGCTCGCTGCTATGCTAGAAAACGTGCGATGCGCGAATGACAAACAAACATTGTACATATAGGTAAGGCCGGTCGGCTGAGTGACATCATTGTTATCATTTAGTACGTTTGTTCTTGTCGCTGAACCCCGCAGACGAGCGCCCCGAGGTCCCTGAGGCCCAGAGGACCCGGGCCATGGACCAAGGTGAGTCCTAGTTCTGCACATCCACAACGCTGTCACGCTACAGTTATACTTCTATCAACCTCTGTTTCTCAAATCTTTCTTCACACAACCCTACCGTGTTTGATTGTTGCAAGGATTCTTTTGGGTTTCTCGTAAACGTATTGCTAATTTATCGTATTGTAAACTTAAATCATTAATCACCTGACAATAACGGGTTGACACGTCTCTGATGAATTGTGCGGTAAATAACTGAAGTAGGGAAGAATAATCGAAGAATTGGTTGCGTAATCTCGATTAATCATATATTGGGTGACTATCATAGATTTGGTTAGTTAAATATTTTTCATTTGTAAATCTGCAATTTGTATCTCCTGATTTCGATTTCTCTCAATATGAAAAATTCCAGATTTCTGTTCAATTATTTGACAAGCACGTAACATCTGATTACGTAATTGTGTCAAAAATAAAAATTACAACAAAACTTAATTGTTAAAGGAGGAAAATAAATTTTAGTTAAGAGTTTGTCCTTTTTAATGTAACCATCAGTTTGCGTAAAAGTGCGCGACGTATTGATTGTTAAAACGTTTTATTGCTTGGGATAGCTATTCACGCTAAAAAATTCTCGCATATGAAATATTTTATTAACCAGGAACTTTGTTTAAATAGTATAATTCTAAATGATTAGCGACACTCTGCGTTCTAAACAGTTATAAAATTATGCGCTCGTCGTGTTCTACCAATTGTCGAATAATAAGCTACTTTCCTCCGAAGAAATTGTTCAGACTGTTAAATAAAATGGTCGACGTCCTCATCTTAATAGCAGCAATTTTTATTAATTGTCATTTTACATAATCATACGGCGGAATCAACCACTTAAAATTTACTAAAGTGAACCATTTGAAATTATAAAACATGATTGATCAATTCCTGCATTAAACTATCAGTGACCATTCGCACCTATGCGCACGGTCTTCGTACAAAAATTAAATACATTCGATAGTCTCAATATCAATTAGCTAAACAATGATTATATGAAATATAGCCGACATTGAATTTTTCATAGAAAATCGAAATATCTTCAGGTAAACGAAAATGGCAACTGAATATTGATTAAGAAAATCAACCAGAATCTCTGCAACAATTTATACATGCTGCTTCATATATTTCACATATGTTATATTTTTCAAACAATGTGTAACGTCGGTATCATATGTTTTAATCTGATGTTCATTTAAAATTGTATATTTCATGCGATAGTCCAATTACTCGTGTTAATTGTCGGCTAACGTTATGATGCTACATCTTCTGAGCATGTGCTTATAGAACGAAACGCGAATCTCCTCTTCGATAAATACCATCGGCGTAAATTTTGGCTTTATTTCCGAATCTTAATACATGTGCGTCACCACCCATTTATTCGCGTGGCTCTTGTAAATCAAATGTAAACTCCGACACAAAGCGGGAAACCGGCTTACACTGTATTATAATTGATCATTCGTAAGCGCTTTTGGTTTCATTTCATGCATGCGCTGTAAAAATGAAAATACAACGAAACGAAAGAAAAAAATTGAAAAATTCTCAAAATGTGTGCATCTGTGTGTGAACGATCTTGTATTTGCCGGGTGGTGACGGTATTTTTTTTCAAAATTTTTCACGAAGAAAACGAAGGAGACGAAGTGTCTTATGCTGATAGCTTTTATGTGTAAATATGAAATTTTGTTTTCAAGTTAACCGCTACATTAACAAATTAGAAAGATTGAGTAAAGTTGTACAGAAAAGAAAATTTTCTTTTTGGCTGACCACGCACAACTAAAAGTGCAAGGTTTCGAAAGCATTTTCTCGTGCCAAGTATAAAAGGTTAATTTACGAGTTATATTTTTGTAATATATCAAGAACAATAGATGTTTTTACAGTGATTTCCTTCTTTATCATTCACAGTGTTAAAAGGAAACCCTGCACCGGTACATTCCCGACCAACATTCAATGATGATCCTACGGACACTAAAGAAGATAGCGATGGTGAGCTGTCCAATTAAAATTTATTAGAGTTAATTAATTACTTTAAATTCAATTAATTAAAGCATCGAATTTTTGAAAATCTATTGAATCTAAACAGTTCTATACATTTATTTAAATACTTCAAATGGGAAAAAAAACATAAAATACTTCTACTGAATATGTATTAAGAAGAAATTTCAAGATAAGATGTGTAAAGGATTTGATTGAATTAGAATATATTAATAAATTAATAGGTTTTTAAAATGACAGTTTTTCATAGAATTTTAAGATCAATTTAAATCGACTTATTCAGATATCTTCTTATAAATTAAATGTATATTCTTATAAGAATTAAAAATGTAATTTAACGATCTTAATAACCATACTGTTTCGATCATGCAATTTGATCAAATGATTGATTAAATGATATGGTTGTTGGGTTCAGTAAATTATGTTTTCTTAATCTCTATAGGAATGTGAGATAAATAACATAAGGTTCTATTTAAAAAAAGTAACGATAACCTTGATATTTCGAGAAAGTGACCTTGAAAAAAAACATTTTATTCCGCTATAAAGTTTGCCTCGGTGACAAATTTTGTTGTACTTTCATTAAGTTTTTTTGTACTTTATATATATACTCTTTATACGATTTCATGTAACTTTTGCAGCAAATGATTGTTTAACTGATAGAAGATCTGTACTGGAAGATGAGAGGCAGCATTCTCAAGAGAAATTCTATGTACCTGAATGTACTCCTGATGGAAGGTATCATCGAGTGCAATGTTATTCTGGCTACTGTTGGTGTGTATACCAGGATACTGGCAAACCAATCCCTGGAACATCTTCTAAAGACCGTACTCCAAATTGTAATCCAGTACCAACTCCTAGCAGACCCATGAAAGGTAATTAAATGATAGACTTTCATTCTATTTAAAGTAACCCTAAAGAATATAAATGACACATTGTTACTTTGACATCAGGTTGCCCAGAGCAAAAGAAACAATTGTTTCTACGAGATTTAATGGATCTAATGCAAAAGAAGATGAAAGCCTCTGGGACAGATTCAGATGAAACAACAGCTAAGTGGCAAGCTTCGAAAGAAGAGCAAATAGCAACTTGGCACTTTGTTATGCTCGATAAGAATAAAAATAAGGCAAGTTTTAGTGTCTGATATTTAAAATATATAATAAAAGTGACATTAAAATTGAAATCTATGCTTTATTTTTATGCAGGTTCTAGAAAGGAAAGAGTGGAAAAGTTTCCGTACAATGGTAGCAAGTAATAGACAGCTTCAAAGATGTGGCAAAAGATTGCCTAGATACTGTGATATCAACAATGATAGGAGAATTAGTATGACTGAGTGGCTCAGTTGTCTAAATGCTCAACGTCCTATGCCATGTAATTGTTTCATTACATACGTTTCTATTTTTAATATATTGAAATAGGCATTAAAAAATTACAACATGTATAAATGTATTTCAGCTGATAGCACAGAAAAAGCATCAACGAGTAAACCGAAAAGGATGGGTCCCAATCCATTGGATCAACTCCTTAAAAACGACGATGATTAAAAATTTATGTGATATAATGTGTGTTTGTCATTTCATCAGTACTCTTAGTGATCATTCATTTAATACATTGATCATAACACGAGCAAATGGAACTTTTAAAGGAAAGCCAGTTAGTGTTAACAGAATTCTATTTGTATTTTTTTTTATATCCGGTGATAAATACCACTGTCACGTCATTTATTTTAATATAGATGATATTTATCTGTACCTCACAGATTAATAAATTCAGTAGTGTATTTTAGCATAATGATGAAGTGTAGTTATAAGTATAAAAATAATGAAGTATTATGGACATACGATCGTGTATATATTTAATATTTTTGTTTCGGTGCTATGCACGATACCGCTTTCTCATGACTACGATAATGCAAATGCCAAGTTAGGTTTACAATATGCCGATTGCTATAGAACTCACTAATTTTAATGTGTTTGTTACATGAATACGACTCAAAATTTTGTTATAATTTAGGCTTAATCAATTTAGGCTTATACACTTATATGATTTCTTTCATAGTTACTAATATTATCAATTTGAAGAAAATTGTAAAATTGAAATTTGTTTATTGAAATAAATTGTTTTAACACAACATTATTGCTGAACTGGTTTTCAAAATAATATTTTTTAGGAATTTGAAGTAATTAGTTTTTTTTAACGTCATAATTATTCACAATTTATTAATATAAAAATTTTAAAAAGGACATTTAAGAATTTATTACATAAAGATAGTAAAATCAAACTAAGGCATGCGTAAAATGGTCTAGTATCTATTGTAAAATAGTTACTAGATAATCTACTATAATCTATGACCTATTATAAAAGTCAAGGTTTGATAAAACAAAGTACACAAATACCTGAAGATAATTGAGCATATACACTTTTGTAAATGCGAGGCTTAAATCAGAAGACTGTTTCTTATTTATAAGAAATTTGCATGTATACATGCGCTGTATGCGCTCTTAAAAATTACGAACAAAAACCCCTTAAAGCTTTGAAAATACGAAAAGACATTTGAAAATTATTTAGAAATACTTTATTAATAGAAGTTACATGATGCGAAAATATACACTTTTTGTTTTTTCAGAAAGGCAACTTTTTTTTATATTATCAATGTACAAGATATGATGGTCAACTTTCATTTTCTTCATGCAACTATATATTTCTTATTAATTTATTTATCAGTATATTCATATAGAAATTTAACAATTTTTAAAATATACAATTGATTTTGTATTATTTTCAAATAACTGTATGTACAAATTCTCGGAAAAAAATTGATTTACTAAATATCTACGCAAGTAGAATGTACTAATGACGACTTGAATCGAACTCCTAATCGTAGATAAAGATTGTCACTGGAAACAGGTGCAGAGGGAAAGTGTTACACTTGTAAACTTCTGGTTTTAAATAGGAAGTGTGATTAATTCTTTTCCCAACATAGATACTAATTACGTAACTGAATACTCGAGGACTACGTTACACTTAAAAAGTGTACCCTTCTCACACCATGTAATTTCTTTTAAGAATATATTTGTTTATTACCTGTAAACACAGATACATTGTATATGTGTGGTCGCGCACGTGTATGTATATATATATGTACATATGTGTATGTGGATATAAGAAAATCTTAGATCTTATTTCCAGAGTTCGTATAAATCAGACATTTAATTTAAACACAAAACTTTATCATTACTGATGTAGCTGAAAACAAATAATGTATAATTTTTCAAAGTTATAACAGATGAAAGAAATGAACAGTAAAAGGGCAGTCTATATTCGTCCGAACAGAATATGCTAAAATACGCGATCTTGGTAACCACTGTCAGCCATACTAGAACTAGGTTTCGCTGGCCCTCCAGGTACTTGATGGTGCGGATGCCGTATGTGGCCAGGACGTCTCGGTGGAGCTAAGTACTCAAACATACTCTGAGTATGTTGTGCCAACATTTTGCTAAGATCACAAGGCATTGGATCAGTCCAGAAAAAGTCGTGGTTCAATGCAGAATCCGAATCGTATCTTTTAGATGGATCAAGAATTAAAAGTTTATCTAACAAATCACATGCATAAGGATCCTTTAAATATGGCTTCAATCTGTCTTTGACCTATATAAAAGTATATATTTTACATTATACCGATTATAGATAAATGTATCCTATCAGTAGTACTTACCTTTCGCTTTTGACCTTTAGGTAATTCCATTTTATTAAATAATTCTAAATTTTCTACACCAGGCCATACTTCTGTTACTATAGAACCACATAACTGTGAAATTAATACAAGTTGTTGCTGCTCTGTATTTCCCTGCATTATAGGTGATCTACAAATTAAAAAAAAGATATTTCGATTATTTATTTAATAATTAACGATTCAATTTTATTTTTAATTTTATAAGAATCCACATATACCTGGTCCACATTTCAGCCATTATACATCCTGCACCCCATAAATCTACAGGAGGACCATAATTTCTATCACCGAGTAAAAGTTCTGGTGGTCTATACCAAAGTGTAACAACTCTATTTGTATAACGATTCGGTTGGCCATTTTTGTTGGCGCTAAATGCACGAGCTAACCCAAAGTCAGCTAATTTCAATATACCATTCTTAGTTATTAAAACATTTGCAGCCTTCATATCTCTATGCAAAATCTGTAGAGTAATAAATTATTGTATCGATTATAAGATTATAAAGTACATTATTCCTACGTTCCCAATTTATTATGAAAGGTTATTATGAAAACGTTTTTTCTAAATTTGTATCTTATATGTTTGAATAAGCCATAAATGTCTAAAATCTAAGGGCTACTTGTTGCATATAATTTATATGTTCTTACCTTATTACTATGAATGTAATAGAGACCATTTAACAATTGTTGCATAACTTTCTTAATTTCCCCTAAACTAAATTTCACATTTACATTTGATAATAAACCAGCTAAGTCATGCTCACAAAAGTCAAATACAAGATAAAATGTAGAACGATAGCGATTATATTGTGTTGCTAAAACAAAATTTACAATGTTAATAATTGTTCTAATTCTAAGATAATTATATTACAAATTATTTTTGATATATGAATTTATAAATATATATGTACCTCGTGTTCTACATATTTCTATTAAATTCACTACATTTTCGTGCTTTAGTAATTGTAATATCTTTAT